TATTATCATAATTTTAAAACAACCTAGGTCACGGGTCATGATGGTCAACCCGGCTTGACCTGAGACAAAGTAAAAATAAAAATAATTATTATCATAATTTTAAAACCTGACTTAGAAGTTGACTTGGGGTAAGACCTAGATCACTGGTTAGAAGGGTCAATTCAGGTTAACCCAAGTCAACATATGGATAAAATTTATTATTGTCATAGTTTTAAAACTTAGCTTTAAAATTGATTCACGACAAGGCCTAAGCCATGTGTTGGGAGGGTCAACCCGATTTTATCCAAGTTAATATATGGACAAATATGGTTATTATAGTTTTAAAATATGATTTGGAGGTCAATTTTGAAAACGGTTAGGATCACAAGTTGGGAGAATCAATTTGAGTTGACCTAAATTTAAAAAAATAATCGAATCAATCTTATTTTGATCAATTTTTTTTTAAAAAAAAGTCAAGTGATTTTTTACCTGTATTTTATCTCAAGTAGACCATGTCGCACGTTGACTCGAGTTTTTAATTAGGTCATGTTAAATCAATTTATTCTCTATTTTTTCTTAAATGTGACCCAATTTAGGCCTCAAGTAGTTCTAGTTCTATTTAGTAACTACCAAATAAAGACAAATTATCTAGTCTACTCTAAGGCATTCTAAACATAAGAGAAGAGAGTTATTTGTTCATGTTAATCCAATCAATATTGTCTAGCATACCAAATAATTAATTTGATAAAAAAATTATTAAAATTTTATCAAAAAAATTTAAAAAATGTTATCATGATCACAAATTTCATTTTTATTGAATAATTTTAATAAAAAATCTAAAAATAATTTTTATATTAAGTTCATCTATAATAATTAATGAAATGATTACTAGTATTTGTTTAAAAAAAATGCTATAATCTTATTTGAAAAAATAGAAAAAATTGAATGGCATTTAATGAAATAATAATTTAAACATTATTTTTTTTATTTTATTTCTAATTGGTATCTAAAAAAATAATTTAAAAAATTAAAAGACATAATAAAATGAGGCCAGACTTGTGGGCTTGGAAGGATAAAAGAAGTCTAAGTGTATGTGGGCCTATAAGGCTAATCTGGTATGCCTAGTCTTCTTGCTTTGTTTTTTCTTTTTTAATAAGTTGAATGAGATAATATTTGTTTTGTTTTTAAAACAAAATTTGCAAATAATGCATTGTCAACTTGTCAAGATTTCAATGGCTAAAAAAGTTAGGGTATGAGTTTTGGGACTTTAAAAAATCTATTTAAACAGATCTTTTACTTGAAAATATTTAAAAAACATATATAAAAAAACACCTAAATAAACATATTATTGATGTTGAAACACCCTTAAATGGATTAGAAAATTAGAATTAAACTAGATAATAAAAAGTTTCCTAAGAATTAATCTACTTTATTTGACAAAATAGTAGTAAAAAAAATGAAACTTCTCCTTTCAAGAAAAACCCAATGACACCAATATTAACTTTATTTTTTTGTTAGGTTTTAGTAAGCCAACCTTTTTCTCTTCTTCCATGTTTTTAAGATACTTGTTCTCTTTTCTATCCAAACAAAAAAATTAAATTTTAGGATCTAAATGCACTAAACTAAAAGAACAATGACAAATTATATAAACTAATCAATTTGAGGAGCAAACTTAACAGTTTTGTATGCCTTTTATGTCAAAGATTTTATTTTTTATGTCAAATCCAGTCCTTCATCTTTTAATTGTTTTTTTTTTTTAAATAAGCTAAAACTCAATTTATTAAAATTTGTCATTAATCCAATGTTGGATTATTTTACAAAATTCAGGGTAAGTGAGATAACATAAATTGGAAAAGATCCAAGTGCATAAATCCATGAAAAAAAAATTCAAAAGGGAGAAAAATAAATGGAAAATAAGTTTAGGGATAGAAGTTAACAGATCCAAGGAAAAAAAAATGGAAAGAACAGAAAAACATGAGAGAATAAACACTAGATGTTAGTAAACCGCCTATCTCTTTGAGTGTATAGTCTTTTGTAGCCATTGGCTTTGCGAGGCATCAAGCAACATGAAATCGAATCCCTTTAATTTACACACTACGCTGGGGTGGGATTATGGGAGCAAGAGGGCATGCATACCATTCTATAGTCCGAAGTCTGATGGACCTACTAGTGGAAAAGAAAAGGTTAGAATTAATAGGGAAGGCATGGTTTTTTACTTATAATGAAGAATTAATAGGGATTATAGGAGCAAGAGGGCATGCACTCAGAATGCACTTCTACAAGCCTTAGATGTAGCCAGAATGTACAAAAGTAGAATCATCTCATTGTTTGGAAAATAAACTGTTTAGAGCTATTCAATATTTGCAGAATTATAATAACGTAAGCAAAGTAATAATAAGCATGCATATAAAAAAATTTAATTAAATTTCACATGCATATACACAACATACAAATGTATCAAATTAAATAAGTAGAAAAAAATTAGAACAAATACTTGTAAAATTTCATATGAAAATTAAGAAATGAAGAATGTTGTTGTCAATTATTATATCCTTTTTATTCAAGGCTAAATTGATGCAAATTATTTCAATGCGAGCAGCCTCCGAGAATATTTCTAACAATAACACCTCAAGAACTTGCACTGCCTATCAAGATCTTTGAATTAAGAAGATAGACCCAATTTTCTCTCTACAATAACCAAATGTAAAGCTCTAAAATTACATAGTTGATAGAATGAAAAACAAGCAATAATGAAAATAGATAGCAGTAGACTTGCTCGATTTATTGTTGTGGCTCTGGACACTCTCCCCATCCTCTATGGGGACCTAGACTACTTAAATTAATTCCGACAACTAATCTAAGCCTGAGCTAGCTAAGCCTACACGTGTAGTTTGGAACCAAACTCCACATAACCTTTCTCTTCTACAAATTTTGGTGCTCTGCCAGGCTAATTTTTACTTTCAATGCACTGGTGTATAAGTGATTTGAAAATCTTATAATTTTTCGTTGTGGGATTAAGGTTTTTTAATTTAATTTTTTTTATCAACCTAATATAAATTAATTTTTTATTCATCTATAATTGGTTTCAAACATGTTAAATTTTTTTCAATAAAATCTAAATCCTAATCCTAAATGTGATTGGATCTCACTTTTAATTTAGTTTAAAATATTTTTATCAATCATGTATAAAAAAAAATACTCATGATTATGATTAGGAATATAATATGTTTGATGCAATTAAGGAAACATTTAAATTAAAAAAACTTAAGATGCTAGATGAAATTTTAATTTTATATTTATCTAATATATTTTTTTAAGTGATTTTTTTTAAACTCGTTATTATATTATGTTTAATTTTATTAAAACTTAAAAATAATAAAATTTAAATTTTTAACCGCTTTATCATTGAAATTATAATAATATCACATAATTATCCCAATCAGAACTTTAAATTATTTGATAAGGGTCTAAGAATTGTTTTATATTTCTCTGACACTATTCATTTCCAATTGCTTCAAGATAATTGTTGAATATTGGTGTGTTGGTTTGATGCTTCAAAGGCAGTGCATATGATGATGAATATTACATGAACGGATCATCATCCATGGATTATTTCCTATGAAAAAGAAAATGATGCTATATATGGCTATTGTACGAGAGTGTGTGAGAATATGTGTGTGTATCAAGCATTGAAAATTAAAAATGCATGGCATCTTTAAGTCAAGCGACCACCAATCTTACAAAAGCTCCTTCAGCTTAAATAGAGGAAAAGCTATGAATTTAGGTAGGGAGTGTTATTATTTCTATAAAGCCTGGAACAGCTGATTACCACAGGCAACAAAGAAACTTGTTACAAGTTAATATCAAAATATCAGTGGTAGAAGGAAGTGATACCATGCATACCCTTGCAACAAAAACATGAATAGTTTAGGTAAATGAGTTCTATTTCCCTGAGAAGAGATCTGCTAGTTTGCCATTATGCTGCGACAACTAGCAGACATGATCAGATTGGATAATATTTGACATAAAACACCACAAATTTACCTAAACTACCAACAAAAATTAAAGAAGGATATAGGAGAATAAATTGATGAATAAAAAGTGATAAATGTTTGTATATAGGAAAATTAATTGAATCAGGCGATAAAAAATGGTTCAGGTCACTGTGCGAGTTTGCCAACACATGTTGCAGTTACTCTGAAACGAAATGTATATAAATCATACAAAGAAATTATATAATACATCAGTGAAGGATGAAGAACATAACCTAATTAAGCAACACCTCAGAGTTATTTCTTTCATACATCCCTATGATATTTTTCATCATATGAAAAACACTTGGTAGTTAAGGCAGACCAACCTGAGGTGCCAGGAAGAGGAAGTCTAGCTAGCAAGGACAAAAATCTATCTTTCTTCAGTGGAATAAATCTCCCCAAGCAAATAAGCCAACTCTTCCTCGACTAATTTGTAGATCAAGATCACTAGACTATTGCGCTTGTTAGCTTCTGTTGCAGCTCAGAAATATCCAGACTTCTATTGATGAGCTCTACACTTTGGAATGATCAAAACTTGTTTTTGACAACTTTGAAAATTCAAATATTTCCCAAAAATAACTCTGTTTTCTGACGAAGGAGGCTCTGATACCAATTGTTGGTGGGAGAAACCACTTGTGGTGGGTTTTAAACACTCGGGGGGGGGAAAACACCCTCTTTTATTTCAAGAACAACAAACTTACAATAATGAAACAAAAGCTTATAATAACAACCTTTTAGTTGAAATGCAGCTAACAACACTGAACCCTTCTTCAATTAGAATTTCAAGCACTCTTGAAAGAGGAAACCCTTTTTTTGAGGCAGTGTTAATGTCAACCTCAACTCCAACACAACGAGTTCTGACTGTCAAGGTATCCCTCTCACAACCTTCCAAGTTTTCAAGAGCAGAAGAAGGAGACAAGTACCTTTTTAGTTCATCTTTCTTCAAGCACTCTTGAAAGAGGAAACCCTTTTTTCAAGGCAGTGTTAATGCCAACCTCAACTCCAACACAACAAGTTCTGACTGTCAAGGTATCCCTCTCATAACCTTCCAAGTTTTCAAGTGCAGAAGAAGTAGACAAGTACCTTTTTAATTCATCTTTCTTGTCAATCAGCTTTTGGATCTTTTCCTCTTGATGTTTTATATAGTTTACTGTCTAGTGAATGTGATCTGATATAGATCTCTTTCCCTGAAAACATCATAAACTTATATTATCTATCTGTTAATCAATCTATACATAAAACTAATTAGCTTGGCCAAACAAAGAAAAAATAAGTAAACTATGTAATTAACACAACAAATTAAGATTGAAGGGGAAAAAAATAAAAAAAATCAAATTTCTTTCATCATTTGATGTTCGATCAATCAGGAACAAAATATGACCTTGAGATATTTAAGGGGGAGAAGGCGTCGTAGGGACCCATAAAGGTTAGCCATTCCTTGCCTTCTTTGTCTCTCAATGTCTCTATGGATGATTTTCTTCTTGTTGTTGTCATTAGGGTTTTCATCTTTGACAGATCCAAGAGCGATGGATGATTTACGGCGCCGGCCATGTTGAGTTTTGTTGGCAAGATCGTGGCAATCTTCATAAGGTCTTAATGGAACTTTATCTTTAGGTGTTGTCTGTTGTTGGGATGCAAAAGAAGAGAAATATTGGACAAGATCATCAGTGCTATTGTCGTCTATCTGAAAAACTGATGAAATATAATCCATGATCAATGCTCAAAATTTTCTCCCTATCTCCCTTTTGCACGCCCACTATTCTTTTCAAAGTGTAAGTCCTTGAATGGGATATCTCTTTAAGGGGCCTAAGGTTCCAAATATTTAGTGATTTTAATTACATGAACAAGCTTATCTCACGGTGACTTCGCTTTCAAAACCACCTAGCAGGGCTTCTTTTATATATTTGTTTTTTCATAAAACGTAGCTGGTATTTAATGCAATGTACATTTGAGGGCTGCTAATTTCCTAAACCTATTCACATTCACATGCATGAAGGAAACAGCTAGCCTTCTGCAGTGTGGGACATGGAATAGGTTTAACATCTTAATTTAATTCCCATCTGGAAAATTAGTTGCCACCAAAAACCTTACAGAAAGCAGACATATTATCAACCATTGATCATGCATAATATTTTATGGTTAACTCTGTTTGCTCAGTGATCGAACCAGTAAACTAACATGATTCTTCGCAAGGTATATGTGACAATTATGTTTAATGATTTTCTTTTCTGATTTGCTTTCCAAAAAATATAATTGCAGGAATAAATTTCCTTATGAATGCTTTAATTCATAACGTATGGTTTATCAAGGACTCAGTCAAGAGTAAAACTTGATTTCAGTACATGAAAGCTTGGCGAAAAAATATTACATTTCATTGTTAAAAATATAATTGCTAAACATATCCCTATAGTGTTTAATGAAATATATCAAATATATAAAGAGTAAATCGTAAATTATTTGTCGCGCGCTAACTTAGTTTTTCTTCTAGTTTCATCAATTGTTATTTTTCCTGAATCGTCATTCATTTCTTGTCAAGATTCTCAATCTCATCCACTACATACAAAATTAAAATTGAATTTGAAGGGGCTAATGTGAACATTTAAAAAAGAATTAGCAGTCAACTTTTGTCAGATGATTAACTTATAATTTTCAAAAACAGAAGGATCAATTTCAAAAATCGTAAAAAAGAAAAAGAAAAAGAAAAAAAAGAGGCAAGAGGGGATGGTATGGAGAGAAGAGAATATCCCACAATATAAAGAAGATACGCAGAATAGAAAATGTGAACAATATCTTAATATGGATCTTCTTCGAAATGGAAAATGGATCAACGTGTGTGACATTGTTTCAAGGCAAGATCAAGACAAAATCATTTGCCAATACAAGAAGTGATGGGGAAGGCTACTTCTTGTTTAATGATATCGATCATTGTTCGGTAGGAGAGGGAACATGATGAGGTGTGAATTTTGGTTAGGAGGGTCCAGCGATTCAGAAGTGTGTGGATACTTAGACCCATTCTTTCTGGCATAATATTAATAACGATCTGCCAGTAACATATATATATATATATATATATATATCTGCTAAAATTTAATCAAGGGTCAAATTCATAATTTATTTAATGAGCCCACGAGGGAGGGGCATCCTACCAAATTGTTCTTACTGTGTATGAATTGTGTATTCCCTTGATATTTTCTCAGCCTCAAAATACATGAAATGAGATTTGCTTTCTTTAATTTTTGATCCTCAATTCTGAATTCTAAACTCTAAAACCTTGTTTGACTATGAAAACGAAGACTATCCCTTTACATATTTTAGGAACCCATAAGCCATGCAAGAGATGTCAAACAAACCTTCACAAATTAATTGTGAATTATTTAGAAGAAACAAACTAGCTAGTTGTACCAAATATATATGTTATTGATAAATCACAGCAAGTTATATCAAGTTAGTAATTAAAATTTTGTTTATTTATTGGAAAGTATTTTTTTTAAAAAAAATAGATTTATGCAAAGTGAATTATTTTTTAATATATATTAGTGTTATAAAAAATAAATTAGAAAAAACTTTCCAATATTTGATTATATCATAGAAAATTAGTTAAAAAAATAAATCATTGATATTTTATTTTTTTCAAGTTTATTTAAAGAATGAGATGATATCTTATCGCTAATAAAGTTGGAGAGGATAGAATTATAAAAATCTTATTTTATTAATTTTTCTAAAGTTGGAGAGGATAGAATTATAAAAATATTATTTTATTAATTATATTTGGTTATATCATAGAAAATTAGTTAAAAAAATAAATCATTGATATTTTATTTTTTTCAAGTTTATTTAAAGAATGAGATGATATCTTATCGCTAATAAAGTTGGAGAGGATAGAATTATAAAAATCTTATTTTATTAATTTTTCAAATAAAATAAATAAAAACTAAAATAATGAAGAACATATTTGATAGATAAAAAAGTTAATAAATGATGAAATTTAAAAAAATACAATTTTATAAATTATTTTAAATAAAAATAAATAGCAATCAAAAGAATATGGATCAAATATGATAGATAAAATTTTTCAATTACAAAAATAATAGGAGAAAAGTAAATAATAACAAAAAATAAGAATCGAAGCGGAGTTTTTAAGTTTTTTTGGTGATGTAATGACTTTACTATAAAAGTCATATATCATGAGAAAAAAAATATAATAATTATAGATAACAATCCCTATTTTTTGATTTAGATCCTTCAAAATATATTATTAAAAAATATATTTTATAAATTATAAATTTTGAGCCAATTAAAGATAAAATAAATTTTTTGAAATGTGAATTTGTTATGTGCAATCTTTTTTTCATCATATTATTATTTTTAAAGGAACATAAAAAGAAAAGATATTGGAATTTAAGATTATATATAGAGTAATTAAGACATATATTTAATATGGTAAAAGTCATTACAAGAACGGTGAAGTGGGAATAACACCACCTTTCTCTTTGTTATAATTTTCTCTTGGATTAGCCATTAAAGGAATGGAATTAGTTTCTACTCAACCAAAATTATAAATAGTAAAAAAACAAATTATCATGCAAAAAAAAAAAATCATGAAAGGCACATGCACATCTGATTGGATCAAGTTTACTAATTACTTTAAAATTGAACACTTTTTGTTAATAACTAATATGTGACCCGTGCTCTATCATGGGTTAAATAAAAAAATTAAACAAATTTTTTTTGTTCAAAAGATGTAATTATGTTTTAAAAAAGATAAAAAAAAAACAATATTTAATAATAAAAACACAAAAGAAAATAAGCTAAAAAAATGATGAAAACCAATGGTAACCTATTAAGTCGGTGGCACGAGTCATTTGACTAAAAACAATAAGTTTGAAAAAATCTCAACGTCTAATATTTAACTAATTAAATATTAAAAGATAAGATTAAAAATAAAAACTAAATATACAAAATAATAATAATAAAAAGGAAGCAATTATAAGCCCAAAAAAACATGAGTCCGTTGTTGTGGGGCAATGTCGAGACTTGCGATACTAAAAGAGTGCCTCCTAAGAGGTGTTGGAAGGAAAAGGAAAAGAAAAAAGAAAAGAAAAAGGGTTTTAGGTTTTATCATATGATTAAGATTCAAGAGTTGCCACCTAATACTATGGTTATTATGAGGAAATCTATGGTTTGTAAAAATTTAAGTAAGAGACTGATTGTGCAAAGGAAAGACGCATCACCCTCAATATACCTTACCTGAGGTAGACTGCATTATTATTTGATTGTTTTTCTAGGTCAAATTTCAATTCATTGATCTTTTTATAAGGTCTAAGAAAGATCTTTCTTTTTAAGGAAGTCTATATCTTATTGGGTGAAGTTCTAACCATTATAAAATTTAAATCTTAACATCATATTTATTTTGAACTTTGTATTTTTAATGTTGGAGAATATACTCTATTATGTAGTTTTATACCTCTAAATATTAAAGTCTACATCTAAACCCTAATATAAAATGAACAAAATAATTGGTGAAGTGTTTTTGATATTTTTGTCAAATCCTAATGGATAATCATAAATTAGTTATGATATCTTTTTTTTTAATTTTTAAAATATGAGAAAGAAGCATTTTTTTTTTTTTGTTTTTATAAAAAGTATACTTAAAAAACTTCTAGAATTTAGTTGTATGCATGAAAATTTTTTTTTTTGTTTTTTGAAAGAGGAAATTAATTTTAAAAATTTTGAGATTTTTTTTAATTTAAAAAAATAAGAATGTTTTGAAGAAAATTGAATATTTTAATATTAAATTTATATCTTACAGTGTAAATATATAGTCCAATATTATTCAAAATTTATAGAAAAATATGTGAGAAAATAAAAAAAAATTGAAAGGACTTTTTAATTTTTTAATATATAATATTATATTTTTATTTATATGGGGTTAGGTTGGACCCAACCAGGTTGGGTTGCCATCAGCCCAGTAAGTCTTGCCTTCTTTTTTGTTTGGAGCTGGGCTAACATGGGTCTCGCTCAAGTCATGAGTTATTTATTTCAATCGTTGCATGCAGAATGATTGCCACGAAAAGGGAAGTGGGAAGGAAGATGAAGGAGAAGGAGAGGAAAGTTATTTAGTGTAATGGTCGTTATCGTGATGAGGACATCTTGTTGGTGGCTTAGTAGGTATCGGTGGAAAAAATGATAGCCAACATCAGTTGTGGGAGGAAGGAGAAGAAACTTATAGATAAGAGAGCAAAGCTTATGGTGGCTATTCTTTCATTGACAAGGAGTTGGGTTGGTGTAGAAGGTTAAGATGCTTTTATTCACGACTATGCTGTGGTGGATGTGGATGAAGAGGCAACGAAGAAAGAGGGAAAAAAAAGGTTGTGGTGGAAGCAAAACTAAAGGTGGGCTAATTTGTTTTGTCAATGTTGGACCTGATTTTTTTCTCCTTTAGTCTATGAAATCCACACCTATTTATAAAGAATGGATAATGAACATTTCATCTTTATTGGTGCCAAATCTTAACTCTTGATTTAATATGGATGGACCCTAATCATTGGTTTCAGAGTGACTATCATAGGCTGTCAAATTTGCTGAAAATAAAGGTTGGTTGGGTTGGCAATTTTCGGGTAGTGCCAAAAATAAAGGTTGGTTGGGTTGGCAATTTTGGGGTAGTGCCACAACCAACCACTGTGGTATCAATTAGATAAAAATAATCAAACTGGTATGTAGCTAGTCAGGTGTTAGGTGATCGTTTACATGTAAGTTTTGTTAAATTTGATGGAGGGATGAAACATTAAATACTTTGAAAAGAAGGCCATTCAAGCAGCTTCTCTGTGAA